TTGTAATTGTTTCACAAAAATGTGATATAAAACCTCCGTGTGATAGGAAATATATTTGTTGCCTTTAGATGCACTTAAATGGAATAAATATTTTCTGTTAAACAACCTAATGGGATGGAACTTTTATTGATCGTGGTACCAAGTAATGTTTTGGCTGGGATTTAATGTTGATGACGCTTAACTTTTTTTTTTGTTGGTTATGTATTTTTATTAATAAGAGACAGATTTATAAAAGGTGCTAAAAGTGGATACAACTCATGTAGAAAGTCCAAGGGAAGCACATGCTATCATCCTATACAAGTACAAGAATCTAGCTAAATCTAAGAAGCATGGATTCTTCTAAAAAGGTTCCATGTCCATGTTGGACATGTGTTGGGCACCCATTTAGACATGCCCTATTATATTTTTAGATGTTTTTAGGTGGAGTTTGGACATTTAGAATACATGTCTATCTCGTAGACACACATAAACACATTGTTAGTTTGGATTTGATATCCCTTTACTAGGAAAAAATACTTACAATCTGCAATCAATTGTGTGTACTAGTACTTGACCTCAAAACCTCCAAACTTGGAGGTTACCTCTTGTAGAATTCTGAGTTGGAACAAGTTCTCTCTCAAGAGCAACCCCTGCCCCCTCTCTTCTGGTAGCCTACGTTCATTCCAAAATCTGACCCTATATGATTATATGTTCAAGGAACTTCTTCCATTTTTTTCCTAATATCTTTAGATGCACCAAGATCATTAGAGAGTTACACAATAGTCTGGTAGACCTCAACTCCACCATAATGAGTGATTTCTACCTTCCCCCAATAATTTCCTGCTTGAATGCAAATGTCTATTACCATTTTGTCATTAATGGTCATGTGAACACCTAGAGTCTTTTGTTTCTAAACTTGCCTATGTAATTAAGGAGCAAAACAAAATCACAGTCCACCATATTATCTTTAAACTCTTCTCCCATATGTGACCACTGATTAACTGTGAATCAAATTTCCTATATGTCGCACTGATTGACCATGAAGCAAATTATTATTCACCGTACCATTATCATGTTTGCGGGTACTTACAGGGTCTCCCATATGAATCCTATCTGTTACATCAAGGAATGAACACGGCCATTTTCTTGGCTTATAATGGAGTCAATGTCTAGCTGTAAAAAGCCTATCTTATACATGGACTTGTTTTCTATCACTTTGGAACTACTGAACTAGTGTTGTTCAGTTGGAGCATGTAGCTAACATATTTAGGCAATTGCTTTTGGTTTCTTCTTTCTTGTTTTTCCTTTTCTAGTTGTTTGTGTCAGTAAGTTTTGATTGTATAATCATTTTTACTCTTTTTACTTTAGGTGGAAAATAGATCATACCCTTTTTTCAAGAGCTCGTTTGTTCTCTAGAATTCTACGACTATTTTCAATATTGGTTTTCAATATATATATATGAATTTGTAATTCATTTTTTTAAACATTGCATTTGACTGTTGACAATTTAGCTATTTGACATAAATTTTGCTAACACGCAATCTTATAATGCAGCTAAGTTTTATTGAATTTGAGATTGTTCTTTTTATTTTCCTTGTCATCACTTCTTGTAGTGGCTTTCTATTAGAAAAGATGAGAATGAATTTGGCCCATTTTCTGCTTGGAACATAACTGGAACATGCACAGGTTTGTAAGTTCGTTGTGAATCTGATCATCTTATTATTCCAGCTGATTGGGAAATGGTTTTTTTTTTTTAATTTTAAATTTCTTAATTCATTTTCCCTTTCTTTAATTGTATTATATGTTCTCTGTATTAGGTGTTCAAGTGAGTCATTCCACTGGTTGTTTATGGCCATGTAAGCCTTTTTTTAATTATTATTTTTGTAACAATATTTTTCACATGAATAATACTTTGAGTGAAGAAAGTATTTTATTACTACATCTTATTGGGATGTGCTCTTTCTATTGCTCTTTACTTTTCTTTTTTCCTTTATGTATTAAATGATTATTAATATTTGGCATCTTCTATTACCTGTGTTGCTTTATCATCAAGGATCACCTCAACTTTTTAAAGTTTTAGATTGTTATATGCATTTCTACTAAATTGGTTTATAAAATAAAATTATTTATATATGAGTTTAGATGTAATTGATAATATATTAATGTTTTCCTTGTTTATTTTCTTTGCAGATTGATTTTTGATGACATTTGGAAGCATACTTGCAAATCAAGATGAAGTGTTGATTTTTTTTTTCTTGAACTGATACTTAGTTCTAGTTGCAAATCAAGATCGAGTGTTATTTTTTTGTGGACTCCACGTTAGTTCATTTTGGAATTTGCTATGATGGTTTTTTTTTATTATACTTAATGGATTATTATTAAATTTGTTTGATGGATATATTTTCATTTATAATATAAATTATTTAGTGAATTTTTTTGCGGAGTGGTGTATAATAGTTAGTGAATTTCTTAGTACATTTAAAATGCTATTGGATATGAGTAGGGATATTTTTGAAACAATAATTTAAATTGAAATATAAAATATGGAACAAGTTTAGTGACGAATTTGTTTCGTCATTTGTATTTATTATTATGACAAAGTGATTATTCGCCATTGATAAACTTTTTTTGTGACAAAATTTACTGCAGTTTATATATGAAAGTTTTTATTTATTTTGTTATTTGGTGACTAAAAATTTCGTCACGCATATATACATATTTGTGACGAAATATATTTCGTCACCCATGTATGACTTTTGAAAACGAAAAAGTTTGTCACTTTTGCATCTTATTGTGATGAAATTATTTTCTCATCAATGATCAACATGCGTGACAAATTTATTCAACTAAAGTTATAAATATGGTACTGAAAAACTATTTGGTGACGAAAATGAGAATTTTTGGCGACAAAATCTTGTTTTATTGGTGACAAAAAATTATGACTTTTGAAGACGAAAAATTTCGTCACCTTTACATCTTATTGTGACGAAATTATTTCCTCATCAATGATCAACATGCGTGACAAATTTATTCGTCAACTAAAGTTATAAATATGGTACTGAATAACTATTTGGTGACGAAAATGAGAATTTTTGGCGACAAAATGTTGTTTTATTGGTGACAAAAAATTTCGTCACTGAAGTAATTTCATTAGTGACGAAATTATTTTTCGTCACGGTGGTTTTTAGTGACAAACATTCAATGACGAAACTGGTGACGAAAATATTTCCTCACAAATATCTATAGTGACGAAATTAGTTCTTTGGAGACAAAAAAATTTTGTCATTCAAGACCCAACTTCTTGTAGTGTTTTGCAAATAAGCTTTCGAAAATTTGCAGTTTTATTTAGGCAATCCGAAGTGCTTTTTCGGCTAATTTGAGCAGTCCGGACTTCACAGCAAAGCCTGTTTTTCAAACAGAGATTAATTTCTGGATGATGAAGGAATCCACATCAGTTTCAGGGCCGATGATTCGGTTGAACGCTTCTAATTATGCGATATGGAAGCCGCGGATGGAGGACATCCTGTATTGCAGAGATTTGTGCGCTAAAGGGGGTCAAACCAGATGGAGACAAGGATGGGGACTGGATAAAAACCAACCGGAAGACTGTCGGTCAAATCAGACAGTGGATTGACCACAGTGTGTTCCACCATGTTGCCCAAGAGACAGACGCCTATGCCCTATGGATGAAATTGGAGGGCATGTACCAGTCCAAGACCGCACGGAACAAAGCCTTGATAATGAGAAAGCTTATAAACCTGAAGCTGAAGAATGGTGTGTCTGTTGCTGAACACACCAGTGAATTCCACAGCCTTGTGAACCAGCTTGCATCAATCAAAATGGAGTTGGAGGATGAGAAGCAAGCATTATTATTACTCAGTTCCTTACCAGACAGCTGGGAGACGTTGGTGGTTTCTCTCAGTAATTCTGCACCCGAAGGGAAGCTGACCATGGGAATGGTCACAGACGCCTTATTCAACGAGGAGGCAAGGAAGAAAGAGATGGAAGGAGAGCAGTCCCATGCCCTTGTCACAGAAAGTAGAGGCAGAGATAGAGAAAGGGGCAGAGGTAGAGGAAGAAGTAAAAGCAGAGGGCGTTCACAGTCCAGACAGGACAACACAAGGACACATTCTAAAAGAAAAAATATGTTAAAGACCCTTCAGAAGTCTTGCCTAATTTGATGAGTGTGAGTTAGATCAAATGGCTTCTAAATTTGTTTATGCTATGAGTGCATTAATTTTACATGATTCTCATGTGTCTGTATTGTCTTTGGGTATGCCCGTTTCTTTATATGTATTTAGTACTTCTTGGTATGTGATAAAATCTTCTTGTTAGTGCTTCTTCAAGTTTTAAGTACTGTTATAAGTATTCTTCAATTTGTGTTTAGTTGTGTTACTCATTAGTGAACTCTCTTCCCAATTTTTATCCCCGTCCTTGCTCCTTATTGTTTTTATGTAACAATTAATTCATCCATATTAAACTGTGATAGAGGACATCGCTTATGTGTTCCTTGAAAATTCTGAATTCGGGTCATTATCTTCTAGCTAATGCTTTCATAGTTTAACCATGTTCTGCAAGTTAGTTGTTGCTTCAGATTATCAAGAGTGTGCTCGATCCTTGTGAGGATGAAAATGACGACATTCAAGATGATGATGTGAGCTTGGGGGCTGATTTTGTACAAAGGAGTGTTCTGAATCTGATAGTGAGGTGATGAGTTAACGTTACATTTGTTTTTGGTAGCTAAAATACATGTTATAAACTTCATTTACCATACAGCAAAAATGCTTAATAAACCAATTGTCAAAATTTGCAACTCATTTCAGGTTGGCCTTTCGGAAGATGACCAATACATAGGTGCACCTATAGGTAATGACATTCTATCGTGCCAAATAATATTTATGCTCACAAGTCATGTGAACTTCTTGTGCTTTCACTCCCACCATTTAACACCTTAATTCCTTGCCTAATTGCAAAATAGGTTGTTGAATCACTCCCCCTAAACTGGCTTGTCAGAAAATTGAATGGGAATGCTTGATGAATTGTGTTGTTTTATTTCAATTTGACTTTATGTAATACAGGATACACATATTTCCTCATATATATAATTGTCTTATGTATATGCTTACTTTAATACTCAAACAGCTTGGGGTTCGTATCGGTTGAACTCACCTCCTCAAACTGCTTGGGTTGAGATACGAAAAGGCAAGCTTTAAAGTAATTGATATGCCGAGTTTGACTTTTTTTGCTCCTTTTTTTTTTTGATGTAATTGTTTAAAATTTAATTTTAGGGTTGATTATTGATTGAATGAATGGTTGATAGGATGATTATGCCGCCACTGAAGAAAGTTCAGAGCAAAGAAACCAAATCTGTAGAGACTATGCCAGTGAAGAAGAGAGTTTCTTTTGCTTCCGCGTTGGAGACATTTTGCAACCTCTCAAAAGATGCATGGAAGGGAGGGATGCAATCTCGAGTCGCAAAGTGAGCTTTGCAATGCACTCCAATAAGGGGGTGCGAGCACTATGCACGGAGTTGCATAGTGGTAACTTGTACAGACCGGTGGAAGTTGTCTTAGCAGAAGGGCTAACTGTCAAACATCAGTACGGACGTACAAGTGAGACAGAACCGAACATCAGGGATTGCAGCACAGACAACAAGCGTATGTGGAAACGCCAGGAGGTTGTTTAGAAGTGCAGAGGGCAAAGGCTGAAAGTTCAGAAATAAGCTCCGAGTAAGGAAAATTGAGGATGTTGATGTGTCAAACTCTGAAGTTTTCTAGTTGCTCCCGTGTTCATCATGCAAGGAGTTGCACGCTAATGCAAGGGTATCCCGAGCAGGGGGTACAGGGCATCCAATCAGGGGGAGCTGTGTCTTGGCAATCCAAGCTGCAGAAGTGTGTTGCTTTATCCACAACCGAGGCAGAGTATATTGCCGCAGCGGAAGCCGGGAAAGAAGTCAGTTGTCCATGTGGGCGTGGAGGGGGAGAATTGTTGGCTCCATCCACTACCCATATGGTAAGGAGCCCACCATCCACATGGTGTGGGTGGCACCATGTGGTAAAAGAAGCTGGTGGAGGGCAACACCAACTCACTAAAGGAAGATAGTGAGGGTGGCACCACCTTGGCCAATTATGGCTATCACTTCACCTACTCCTCCTCTCTTGGTTATAAATTGAGATGAGTGAGGAAGGGTTGGAAATCATCAGAACTTGGAGAGTAAGAGCTGTGAGTTGAGTGAGTTTTCATCTCCTCCTTTGTATTTGTATTTTGCTCCATTTTAGTGAAAACTTCTCGTTTCTGTCCATGGATGTAGGCATTGGGCCGAACCACGTAAATATTGTGTTCTCTGTGTGTGTGAGATATTTTTCTGGGTGTGTTTGATCCTAGCAGCATCTTGCATCTCCTGTTGGAAAGGTTTGCAATTTTTTGGTTCAGAGTTTTCATAATAAAGTGGTTCATCCATCATAGTTTTTAACGCTATCTTTCCTATCTACAGGATGAATATGCACAATGGGCAGTTGCAAGTCAGTGAAACCTTCTTGAGATTATGGCAGAATTCTCATCAGCCAAGCCTCCACTTGGTGTTTTCTTCGCATCAGTTGCCCCACGCTTGCAGCCTAGATATTACTCAATTTCATCCTCCTCAAGGTGAATAATACCACAGCCTAGATATTACTCATTTCCAATCTGCTAAGCCTTCTTGAGATTTTGGGTCAGTTGCTAGTAGTCCTGATTCAAATGAAGTGAGAGAGAGGGAGGGAATCCCTGATTTGGAAATGAGAGGGAGGGAATCCCTGATTTGGGAATCCCTGAAGTGAGAGAGAGGGAGAGAAGTTCACTTGGGGAAGAAGTTGAATGAAGAGATGAAGAACTCGGGAGGGCACTTCCTCCAGGGAAGTGCTATCACAGAAACAGAGCAGTGAGGGCAGTTCAAGGTCAGTGCGATTGCAAAACAATGAGGGGACTTCAACAGAAGTACCAGAAGAACAATATTATGAGGCAACACATTCTGTTGATGTGAAAGAGGATAAAGGAAGTTCCGATACAATCTCACGTGAATTGGCATGACCAAAAATAAAAAAATGGTACACCCAGCTTACATATTTTTTCCTTTTATTTTTTGGTTGCATTTGTTGTTTGATTTTGGTTTAGAAATAGTTACGTAATGTTTGCTTAAATGTAGTCAATATATTAAAATAGCAATAAAGTTTTATCCATATTATTGTTATTTTTCAGCTTTATTACAGTTAT